GACTGTTTTTCAGTTTGAAGGATGAATGGATGCAAGGAATATGGCAATGAAATTAAATGATATGGAGGTATAACACCTTAGTCCTCAGGAATGGCAATGCATTAAGAGTATACATACTCTGTTATGTCCATGGTGTTTTTCATGTATATAGACAACGGTTACCACTTTCCATCAGGTGGGCCGACAGTATATTTGTCATTCTAAATGGCATTAAAAAAGGTATTATAATATTACTACGCCATATGGAAAAGTGTTGAATGCATTTCTGTTACAACTACATACCTTGTGTAGTCGAAGTATTTATCACGCAGTTGGCGTTTAGTTATTTATTCATATTAAAATACAATGCTGTACATAAAATTTAAATGGAAATGAAGACAAAACAGTAAGAGAGCCAACGTGTTTATTCTTGATGTTGATTTTTTTTTGTACAATTCATCCAAATCATACCTTCAAATATTATAAACTAGCTGTATTCCGCGGATTCACCCGCGAGAATCAGTACATAAAATATACCATGTGCTTAGTTAGGATATAAACTATCCGTGTACCAAATTTCATTCAAATTTGTTGAGTGCGTGAAAGAGTAACAAAAATCCATCTATCCATCCATCGTTACAAATTTTCGCTTTTATAAATAAAATGCGAATGTTTCAATAATTGTTTCTTCTTGGCGTATTATTGGCCCAGCCAATCGTCATGAAATTTTGTATATATACACGTGAGTACTGTGTAAGGTAAAGCAAGGTTATTTTCTTTTCCGGTTAATCAATACACTCGAACGATTTTGCAGGTAATAAATAAACTATTATTTAAAGTGAAGATATTTACTTAATATTGATAATTTTGTGGTTGATCAATTAATTATCTGGAGGCACGGCATACACTTGGCAAAATTGTTTGTAAAAACAAAAGATAAGTTTTAACATCAAAATGTTTAAGAGCGTGTTTTGATCTTATCTTTTTTTGATTTGTCGCTTTATTCTATATATCAAAGATATGAAAATTTGGAAAAATTTTTTTTGGTAGTGCTACTAGTCCTATGGCAATTGTTATGTAAATAAAAAAAAACACTCGAAAGAGTTGTATAAAGAGATCTTAAAGCGCAAGTCCTTTACTTTTTCTTATATATCAAAGATATGAAAATTTGGAAAATTTTTTTTTGGTAGTGCTACTAGTCCTATGGCAATTGTTATGTAAATAAAAAAAAACACTCGAAAAAGTTGTATAAAGAGATCTTAAAGCGCAAGTCCTTTACTTTTTCTATGAATATATTCATAAAATATACCGTTTGCATATTTTAATTGGAGCAAAGTTATAAACCCGTTTACTTTTTATAAAAAACTTGTGTTTCATTAAAAATATTTTAAATAACCATAGCGGGTTTCGTGAACGAACAACAGTTTTATTTATACGTATTTTTATACTAATAATCATAATAATTAATTAGTACACTGTTACATCAATAACTAGTTTATTTAAGCAATGTAACAGTAATAAGAAATTTATTATTGTTTATAATAGTAGGAAAAAGTAATATATAAATGAAATGTTTTATATATAATTAGAATAAAATTACGATCCATGAACTCTATTTAGCAATTATGATTATTAATTTATTTAAAATGTACTTTATTTATGTTCTATATTGATAGGTCAACAATCACAAATATTACCAGGTCACCTATACTAATATTATAAAGAGGAAACATTCGAATGTTTATTTGTAATGGATAAATTCAGAAACGACTTAACCAATTTTAAAAATTCTTTCTCCTACATAAAGCTACATTATCAGCGAGTAACATAAATATATATACATAATTTATATCATTTTCGAAAATTATATATACCCGTGTGAAACTAACGACGGGCCCAGTCGTTAGTTTATTATAAATAACAATGTAATTATTTAAGGCATTAATGATATAATAATAAGTGCCACACAATTACATCAATCGCTTGTCCAACAAGTTAAATAAACCGAGTCAATTTGAAAAAGTTTATATTTTAATTTGACCCGATAAATAATCTGATATGACGGTCTACCATGAAATGTTTTCCGAAATTTCAGGGTCGAACGAAACACAAATTTAATGTTAAAATTACATAATGATGATAATATAAAACAATAATTAATATATAGAATAATGATTTTAATGCTAGCATTTATGATGAACAAAAGGTAAGCTTCATTTATTGGACTAATTTTGGCATGAATGAAAATACGAAATTGAGTCTGGATTTTCGGAATTTAATTTCATGGCAAACCTCTTGGATTCTTATATATGCAAAGCAACGTGGTCATTGCGTCACGATGTTTGTCAACCCGTAAATTATTATGAATAAATGCAAAAAGACACAGAAGTACATAAAAGTGCTAGCTGAGAACGTGTGGGTATAAGTCAGTCACTTTCATAAGTAGGGTAGATGTTTTTAATGTTTAATCATGGTCACTAGTATATTATCTGTGGTAATGTCATGGTGGTTGCGTTATCAAGTATTAAAGAAAATATTTGGAACAAAATAATTGACCATCTGTTTGCTTCACTTAAACTGTCTGATTGCCATACTACAGGGTATAAAAATATATTACTAAATTTTAATTAAACTATATTATATATATTCAAATCTCTTGAGTAGTCACTTCACATGACAGCTTTACCTGGCAGTATATCATAAAACAACTATACATATATCTTGTCATAACACAAAAACCTGACATCACTTTATTATAGGTATTTTGGTAACACTTTATTTGTGTCGTCTAACCGCATTGTGAGCATTAGTAAATTTAATTTTAGGTAATTGGTAATAGGTTAGGTAATGGGTATTAAACCAAGTAGATGGGATTTTAAAAATATAATAAATAATGTTTGATAGTAATTGTAATTTTGTAAAATAAAAGTTACCAGCTATAAAAATAGTAACTGAAGTGATGTTTACTTTCTGTATGGTATTCATAAGGATTTACATAAATAATATAAAATACTAGTATATAACTAGTATTCTATATTACTTATTTTACGGTTTAGCCCATGGTCGTATCGTGATGTTAAATAGCTTATACTCTTACTTAAGAAAAAAGGTATCAAATGCAAAAAAAAGGAAATTAAAATAAAACTGGTAATTCAAGTGATTAGTACGTTTAAATAAAGAAATTCTTCCACTTTATATATTAAGTACATATATAATTTGTCATTTGTCGTGCCTGTGCACGTGTTCTGTGTCCCGGCATAGAATTGGCCACCCCTTCATTTCCTCTGAGTGTTGTAAGAGGCGGCTAAGGGAGGATAAAGGATTGGCAGCAGCGTCCCTCTTAAAACATCTCTAAAAGCCTAACTGCGGTTGCCAACCGTGGCAACTACTAGCAAAACCCCTGGGGACGGCTTATATTCAAAAGGTGGACAATATAGGGTTGAAATAATAATAATAATAAATGATTCGTCACAATTTTTTTATCCCCATAAAATTTCATTACACAAATTATGCTGTTGTACCTATTTTGATAAGTGTTCATGCAAGCGAAACGAAGAGTCCGTTTTATAATACCAAATTGTTACAGTGAGGGGCCCATGGTCATGATGTTACAAGTATTACAGCAGATACGAAATACTTTTGTTACATTACACGACACAACTGATTGAGAAAATGTTGTGTTAATATTACATAACGTTTTCGTTAATGTAGACACGAATTAACGGCATCCTTCATGCATATCCAATGGTATTTCTCTATAGCTGAATTGTATTTATGTTTTTGTTGACATGCCATTTAAATTTAGAATAAAATATATGTTTAAGTGAATTGAATGTTACACAAACTTGGTTTTTTGCCGCATATAAAAATGGTGATTCGATATGTTTGAGGTAATCGCTATTTAATATCGTATGAACAGTACAGTGCAGTAACAGCACTCTCAAATGTGCGATGGAATTCTCATTTGGAATTCTGTAACGATATGAAAACAACAATTGTCTTACTACTAAGTGGTAACAGATGAAGCTATTTAATGAGTTGAAATCACGAGCGAGACTCTGATCATGTATTTTTGACATATGATTTGGCTATCGAATTGTTTATAATGTCGAAGTGACTTTAGATTTTCATCAGACAAGAATAGCCGATTTGAATGCGTTCTCGAGCTTGGTATTTTAGTGATTGTTATGTAGTAGTATTAATAGAATATCAGACATGTAGTCCCATGACTTATTACAACTTATTACGTCTATAAGTTTCTCCAGTAGTCCATCAAACCAGTTTTGCATGCAAATTCTTTGGATTTACGGCGATCATTTTAGTTATTCTATGGATATCTGCGTTGCGGATTCTATCACGCAGTGAAACTCAGCCCAGTCCATTCCATAACTCGCTGAGCGACTTGTAGTTTTTTCATCCGGCTTGATAAAGCAGGAGATTTTACATTTGGTTCTATGTATTTTTGTTTGTTTGTTATCTCATAACTTTGTCATTTACAAACCGATTTGGAAATTCTTTTTTTTTTTCTTCTAAAAGGATATATTATTAAACTGGTCCCATAGATTGATTATATCAAAATCTCTTTAGTCGTTTAGTTTTTAAATCAAAATGACTGGTTTTGCTACGATTGAAGTCGATGTTGTTTTTAGACAAATCCTAAATTTATCATAAGATTAGGTCATATTGCTTGCCATATTTTCTTGTGATGCTATTGATAAATTCCTATTGCTCAAACAACTGTAGTGTTTTTTTTTCATATTTGTAATATTATTAGTAGTATTTAAAAAATAGGCTATACCGATATCGATTAAGCCCAAACCTATTCTATATTTGCAAGTTTAGTAGTATAAGGGTGTTACCGTCTGGTGTCAAGAACTTTAAACATCCTTCGTTATACATAAAGGCCTCTAATTAATAATTTAAAAACGATGTAATGTGAGTAAATATGAGTGTGAAAATTAAGAAATCCTATAGTAATAATTGGTTAGAATTAATTTGATAAGTATACTTTTTCGTTGTAGGAAATAGAAGCAATCGAGGAGCAATGGCGGAACGAATCTGCAGAATTGGTGACAGCCGTAGCGAGACTTCAGGATGAGAATAAGCGCTTGAGGCGGACTATAAATGCGCCTACAGATGGTTAGTGGTACCTTTTAAGTAAACATAATTCGATTCTGTTAGAAAAACAGCGATTTCAATCGTAAAACAATTTGAGTCAAACACGAGAGTACTAATAATAATGTTATTGTAACTCCGGTTCAGATTACGTAAACAACAAAAAAAAAATCAGACGTGTTGAGCTTTTTCTTTTTGAAGTTGTTTGTACTACTTGTATTTTTTGTCTTGCATAATATTATATATATCGTCAACGTACTTATTGGTCTCTTGTAATTTTCAACGATTGAATTGGGTTTTATCTTCTAACAGCACTGGATTATACCTAACGACGGCTCTAGTTAAGAAAGAGTTGTTAGTTCATTAGCATTTGATATTAAATATGACCTTTCATTTTTTATTCGATTTCTGAGCATATTCAAATGTCTTTTATTTAAGTTCCATACTAAGAGACATTTGAATGCTTTCATTATTCTTTTAATTATTGCAACGTCATGCATTTACTTAATGTTCTTGCCCTATAATATTAAGTAAAAATAACCGTTCGTTTTTACCTCGTACATCTGGTTTGTGGAATGAATTCCCTTTTTCAATTTTCCCGTTACAATATAATATGGGGCATATCAAACAACGTGCTTACAAACATTTAAAAGGCCGGCAACGCACAATTAACACCCCTCGTGTTTAAATTGTTCATGGGCGATGGTAGCCGCTTTCCATTAGGTCAATCCTAATAATAAAAAAATAATCTAGTTCGAAAATAATAGAAGTTGTTTGCAGATAAATGTTTGGCTAAATTGATAACTCTATGTAAAAGTTATAGGCTACCGTCCGACGTCCTTCAGTATATAAATATATCCATCTCTGTCAATCTGTAGCGAAATTGTTTATGGGGCGAAAATGGAATATTGGTTTTCGCTGGCAAAATGAAGGATGATGGGCGAGGATAAAATTAACTTAGCTATCGTGACAAATTCACCAGAAATTAACCACAATAGCTTCTAGGGGGAACACGTGGTGGTCGACTTGAATGGATATATTGATACTCATAAATTTTCTCTCCTCCCTCTGTCGTTTATACGTATGTACGTCACATTGTATAAACGACGTGTATTGTTTGTTAATAAATTTTAGAGTGCGCGCAAAACTTTTTAATCTTTATGAATGGCAACACATTAGACTTCACATGAGCGTCTCAATGTATTCTGTGATGTTATAGCTAATTATGCCTAAACTGATAAATGTATCATATTGTGTACTTGCATCTTGTACGCTAAGGACGGTGCTCATTTATTTTTTGGTTTATTAGTGTATTGAACACTCGTTATTAAGAGTGAATAATTGTTTTAAGTTTTTAATTTAAAGTGCTTCTAAAGACTGCAAATTTATTAAATTTATTCATCATCATCATATGAGCCGTTAACATAATAATCATCATAATATAAGCTTTCCTCTTAGGTGGTTTTGCCAGTAGTTGCCATGCTTGGCAAGCGGATTGGCAACCACAGTTAGTACTTGGTGATGTTTTAAGAGAGACGCTAGTGCCCATTATTAAGTGACCCCAGTAACTTTAACCAGTGTTACGAATGTTTTCAATCGGCCCACTGTCAAAGGATTACATCATTACTTGTAAAAACCTAATTACGTTGTATGTATATTTACATAATACACAAAGTGGGATCTAGTTAGCCGCCTACACGTAAAAGTACCCATTAATCGTCAACAGTGTGCATTAATTATCCTAAATGATATTACATAATAATGTTATTTGAAGGGCATTTCGAAACTATTGGGATTGCTATGAAGTAAATTGTAGAAATAGACAAATGAAATTAATGTTTGAGGATTTAAGCTACTGGCCTTCTTTAACTACCCTGAAACTTAGCTTTAAAAGTTCAGACCGACGAACGTGTGTATGTTGAAATATGTTCGTACTGAAATTGATAACGTTAAAGCAGAGTGACGATTTAAAACCATTTTACATGTAAGAAAGACTGAAAGTACACTTTTTTGAAAGCTGTTTTAATAAACTGTCGTAGTAGGTGATACTATCCATTTAAGCTTAATATGAATTTGTTTAGCTGTCATTATCATGTAAATTAAGAGATACATGTAATTTAACAGGTACAAGCGCCCCACCTTCACCAGCACGTGAACACGATCAGGAGGTCCTGTCCCGACTGAGTAGCACGGCGGAGAAGCAACGAGCGACGCTACGCCACCAGGAGTTGCAACTTCAAGAGAAGCAGCAGCTAATTGATGGTGTGAGTATTATATTTATTGTCTATTTCAACAGTACTCAATGAAAAGGTAAACAAGTTTTCTTGATTGTCACACACTTCAAAATAAATTTGTAATTAATCGAAACATTTAAATATTTAATCGATTTTTTATTTGTACTACTAGCGGACGTCAATCGATCAATCGATTATGCTCGAATCCATCATTTGTTTGTTTACATTTTCATTAAATTCTATTGAAATAGAGTCCGTTACGAACTTTGTATAAACCTGATGAAATTGGCATACATATTTTATTAGACAAAAGATACTTGGTGGTGTTGTGGTTTAACACATTGCTACATCGTTCTATGGTTGTGGCTTTATCCTTACACAGCTCGATTGTGTGTTTATTTGTATTTTATCTGAATTGTTTCTAAGTATGTGTATTTAAAACATATTTAGTATCATTTAGCTGAAGATATCTAACAGTGCCATGGTACCTATGAATAGGACTAGATAGTGCTATGTGAATTTGTATTATATATATCATTCTTATTTATTATATATCATCATTCTTCTTCTTTCTTCATCGAAGAAGAAAATTTTATATGCGTTGTAGCTATTTGTGACATGTTCTAACTGAATAAATCTACGTCGTATTGTCCCTCTACAAAGACATTTGCTCTGATTGATTGATTTATGAACGCCTAGCATTTACCTTTGCGATAAGAAATTTGACGTTTCCCGAAATTTCCAATAAAACGGGAGATAAGGTTCGCGTAGGCGAAGCTTAAATTGGCTTAAGGTGGTACAATATTAGCATTTTATCAATCATCATTATCATAACCTAAACGCGTTTGTCCAACACTGGGACACAAGAAGCTAGTGTCCCAGTGTTGGGCAAACGCGTCCCTCAACTTTTTCCATCCCCCACGATTACTTGCAAGGGCGTATCAAACTTTGTTGAATCGGGCGAGATCATCATTTTACTAATAAGTTGGAAATTATACAGGAATATATTTCAACAAAATTTCGACCAAATCAATCATTCTGATGTCAAAAAACAAACTAAAAGGAATATAAATCAGATTAATGTTTTATTCATAACGTGGAATGAATTTTGTTTGTATAAATTTCAAAGTTAGTTAAATACTCATTTGATTTCATCAAATTTTACTCAATATTGTGCTATGAGTATTTCATTATATTCCATGTATTCATCACTGTCTGTTTGAGCAAATGTTAAACTTATATTCCAACAAAATTTGTGCATAGTCGATATTGTATTAAGAGTATTAAAAAATGTTCGTAACTGTAATGTTTATTTTTTTAATATCGAACTACGTTAGAATTTCGACATAGTACTGACATTTGGCTTTCATGAACCTATTGCAATATAAGTCTAGACTACGCTAACGAAAATAAGTACTAAATGTTTAAGTAACTTTGTAGCAGTGACAATAGAAGCCTATTAATAATATTGGTTTGACCCGCGTGAATTATGATAAAACATTTATTTAAATTTAATATTTAATTTAGATAATAATTATGATCTACTAATTCCATTTTATTTAGGCCAGGCATTTAAATCTGATTATGTATAAACCCAGATATATTTACGAACTTATTATTATTATATCAACCGTTAACTGTCCACTGCTGCGTATCCCTCGACTATTAAGTTCTCTTAGTCGCCTCTTACGACTCCCACGGGATAAAAAGGAATGACCCATTCTATTACGGGAACACGTGATAATTATAATATAGTATTATGTGTAGTAGTAATTATGAATGCGTGTACAGATATTTTACAAAATATGATACAATGCGGACGTACTTTGGATGGGCACTGCTTAGAAACAAGTGCGTTATGAACAGTAGTATATTTGAAAATGACTTGTCATCTCAACTTTATTAGTGTCTTTATAATTTTACTTATAGAAAAAGTTCATTAATTCAATTGAATTCAATTTTGTGTTACTTCGTGATTATAGTCTAATGTTCAATCAACACACTCAACTAATACAAACACTTCCATCTGGGTTAGTATTTACCCGAATAATCGTTAATAGGTGGATTGCTCAATATAAAGATTATTACAATGTATATTGCACGCGTCTTATGTATATCTATGTATATAGAATAAAAAAAAATATATCAACAACGTAATAATAGTGTTGAAGTGATGACTAATCAGATAAGAGCACATGTATTTAAGGTCACTCGATGTCACTCGACGTAAGGTGTTTGTTTTTCACCTGTTGACACAATAACAATAACGTATTTAGTCACTTTCTTTTTAATTCAATAATAGAGAACAGAATATCGAATTTATTTTATTCATTATCGTGTTTTGTATGAATTTCTACTTAAAACTTTGTACTGAATACTTTTTTATAAAGAGAAGTTCATAATTAAGCCGTGCGGTTAATTCTTGGAACGAGTATAAAGCAATTTAAAAAAAGAAATGTCTAACTGATCCTTTAATTTATTGTTCGTCTGTTCTTAAAGGTTTCGGTTTTACTTTCTGAAATATGGAATCGAAAAAAAAATACGGAATGACACCGATTTATCGATTTTTTTAATCTATATAGTAATTATTTGTTATATTGTATCAACAGGCTTCAAAAAATTCTTTATTTGCCTGTGTTTTGTGTATACATGATACACACGCAACTTACTTGATGTCTTTTTTTATTTATTTACACCTATTGGTCTCATTTCAATTTTCTCACGAATGTAATTTTTTTTTTGTGGAAAAAAATGTTAATTACTACGTCCATTTATATCCATTCACATTGATAGAATGTGATTAAGTCGAGTCGTCTAGACGACCACTCAATTCTCTAACTCTACACCTGATTTGACCCCCTTTTGTAGTGCCGTGATTATACGTACCCACCTACATCATGTAACTCGGTAAAGTAATGACAGCGAAAGTAAAATAAATTGACAGTATTAAACTACAGAGATTTGTACTATAAATATGAGTACATTCTTTAAACGCGAGTAAATTGACATTAGTGTCTATTAACTTATATAAAAATTCTACAAATTATTTGTAATCATGGTTTCAAGTGCGATATGCTCGTCATTTCTCATTTCCATGGAAATTTTGGTAAACAGAACCTGTATAAAAAATCAAATTTCTAACTCAAGTGGTTTAGGTAGTACGTTGATAGATTAGTTACTTGGGACAAGTCTTAGATTAAAAACATGTTATCTACATGTAATGTACTCGTATGTAATCTAGTTACTTTTAGCTTATTTCACAGGTGACAAGTTGACATATGCAATGTCATACCTATAAATACGTAATCGATCCTAAAGTGACTAAAGGATGATGTATTTTTAGAGTCGCTGACGTCACCTGGGTTACAATCTTCATTTCTTATGTGCAAGTATATATGGAATAGCTAGTATCTGTCTTTAGACGTTATTTATTAAAGTGATTTAAAATCACATAAATCTTAAAATATTAGTTCCATAATTATAATAATATTACAATTTATGTTTACTTTTAAAACATGTTTTATAACGTTGCTATACAGAATCTGATATTACTACTACAGGGCGAAATTGAAATTATAGAGATGTTGAAAAAAACACGATAATAACATTTCTATTTTGGCAGTGTAATAAAAATATTGTAGTCGAGGCTTTACTAACTCTATTGATTTGCAGTTACTTGCAGACAGATCTGTGTCTAAAGTTGGCTCTTGACCTGCATTATTACATTGGTCCAATATTAAGGCTTGTTATAATAAAGAAAATTACTGCTATACCATAGGTATTACTTATCCATTTTCATAATTTCAAAGCAAGAAATAGATATGTAATGCAATTTAACTTTTTTAATACATAATTAAATATAACTGTTTTTATTTTTTAATTTTAAAAATAATATGGAAATAGAATTATTCAGTTATAGGCAATGTATGTAAACAAAATACTTCTATGTAAGGATTTATACATTAAGCATTCCATATTTCGTAGTGTAGAAGCACAATTAATGATCGTTATTGTACATGACGTATCATTTTTCGTTATCTTAAAATATGCGGAAGCTACTCATAAGCTTAAAGTCATCATGATAATCATTGCAATTCAACCATCTTACTCACCCTGGATGGGTAACTAGTTCACTATGAATAGCTCTCCTCATATATTTTCTCATAAACTAGTCCTGAGCCACCTGCATCTAAAAAGTCATAATCACCTGTCTAATAGAAACTATTTGCATATAAGAACCTATATGATACACCAATGAGATAGTTTTACGACCTTTTTGCTAGTCCCCCACGTGATAAACACTGCTGACCTTTAAGTTTATAGCCTCTTTATGTCTTGAGCAATTAGGTTGAAAGTATACCATTTTGCACTTAAACAATAAAACACCTTAGGCCATTAAGTTGACCTAGTTTGATGACTTCGAATCCCAAAGGATTAGTTTGTTTGGGGTTCAGATTGGCATAATAAATTAGTTGTATTTGTATATGTTATTACCTAAATATTTGGTTACTAATATGTTTAGAAGCTGTAAAAAATGATGTAATTTTAACAGAATAACTAACAATATAGATATGTAATGATTATATTACTATATGTAATTATATAATCAGTGTTATACGATGTCAAGTGTTTGAGAGTACATGCTTTTTTTATGCAACTTTAAACGATGAACAGATGGCCCACATGATGAAAAGTGGAATCATTGTCTACACACATGAATTAATTAGATCGTGGGCTCCATGGCGTCCACTGAGGTCGATTTCGAATATCCAAACCTGTCTCTTAGTCTACTATTTTCATTTGATAGTTTTGTGAAATTACTATTTTATAGACCACATCATAAACTAAATTTATAATAATTTTAACTTAAATCTATTAGAAAGTTAGTTGTTATTGGTTAAAAATTTCGCAGTGATAACAAATTGAAATTTTAGCTTTAAACGTAGGTTTAGAGAAGTGGGGCCTCAGAATCGACCTAACTGTAATGTAGAAATTGATAATCGGTATAGAGGTATTAGTTAAATGTTGCA